CATGCGTCATGACGACGAGCTACTGGTGTGGCCTGTCGTGGAGACAATGGTGGTTGTGATGTTGCGGACGTCATTGTCGTCGTCGCTGCTGCTGCGGGTGTAGGTGTAGGTGCAGTAGTTGTTGTTGCTGGTGTTGTGGTTGCTGGTGCTGGTGCTGGTTCTGGTGCTGGTGCTGGTGCTGGTGCTGGTGCTGGTGCTGGTGCTGGTGCTGGTGCTGGTGCTGGTGCTGGTGGCGTTGGTGATGGCGGTTGTATTGGTGGTGGCGGTGCCGGTGGTGGCCGTAGTGGTGTGGTTGCTGTGGCTGGTGCTGTTGCTGTTGTTGCTGCTGTTGTTGTTGTTGTTGTTGCTGCTGTTGTTGTTGTTGCCATTGTTGTGATTGTTGGCTGTTGGTTGTTGGCTGTTGGTTGTCGTGGTTGTTGTTGTTGCTGCTGTTGTTGTTGCCATTGTTGTGATTGTTGGCTGTTGGTTGTTGGCTGTTGGTTGTGGTTGTGGTTATGGTTGTGGTGGTTGTTGTTGGTTGTGGTGGTTGTTGTTGTTGTTGCTGCTGCTGCTGTTGCTGTTGTGGCTTTGGTGCTGATGGTGGGCATTCGGGGTGGTGCTGCTACTGTTGGCGCTTCTGCTGCTGCTTCCGCTTCCTTTCCTCGTGGCCTCGGGCCAGGTGCGCCAGGTGCCATGCTGAGCAAGCAGATGCAGCAGCTCAGCCTGAAGCACAAGACTATGGACACGGCCACTTGCCCTTCAAGCTTCCTTCTACAATCCACTTGATGACATTGCCGTTGAATTGACCGAAGAGGGTGCGCAAGTTCGACTGCTGTGCACCGTTCAGCATGAGGGAGTAGTGACTGGTAGTGCCGAGAGTGGAGAGGGTGTTCTGAAAGTTCTTGTGCCGCGTCCAGCCCCTGAGTACAGGCGACAACCACAGAGCTTGAGTGGGTGGAGGATGAAATGGCTGAGGCTCATTGCCTTCTACCGCCAATTTCGCAATTCAAACTTCGTTCATTGTGCTAAAGCCACAGCTGGAGTTATGTCGAGGCTGATTCCTGCTTGGCTGACTTTTTCCTTGGCTCTCCCTGTCGTATCATCAACACAGCCGCCAGTCTTTATGCCGCATGATTCTGCTTGGATTCAGTGCCAGCAGCATGGTGCCCAAAGCTTTTGCAACCCTGGGAGGAAAAAGTAGAGCAGCCGCCTCTCTCCCAGAAGGCCCATTTGCCTTCGCTGCTCAAGGACTGCCCCAAATGGAAGGGCATGGGTGACCTTGGACCACAGTCGGGTTGGCTTACTGCGACGTGTCAGGTTCACAGTGTCTGCCTCCAATTTCCGTGTCTTCGGCTGTGGAGAACAGACTTTCCGCAATGAGTCATGACTAGAAATCACGACTCCTGTCAGGAGCAGCACTGGATCGAACGGGAGGCTCTGCAGATGCAGGAGAAGGCCCTTGAATCGGCGTTCCGAAATGCGGTGGAGGCAGGAGAAGTTGCGGACAGGTAGTTGGCACCATTGGTGGAAGTTGTATCGAGTAGCACATGCTGACGTCCACAGCCCCAGCTGCTCAATTGCAGTTCTCCAGCAAAGCCCAAACTCCCGCTTCTGGAAAGCATGAGCGCTTTGAGCTAGCAGTGAGAAAGTTGCATTTGTGCGGCCGTGCCTTCAAGCCTGCATGCGGACGGCCAGCATCAGGTTCTAAAGCAGTCCGTCTTGGAGGCAACTGATCGGGCAGTGCAGAGCTCACTTTCCACAGTGGACTCTGCTATGAAGGACAGCGTAAAGCGTCACGGGGCATCTCCCAAACCCGACCTGGGTGTAGCAGCATAGACCAGAGAGCACACGTTGGAATAGCAAATGAACAGTAGCACTAGCAACAAAAAAGATCAAGAACTTGTACATTGTAGTAGGCGTGCTCATAGAATGCATTCGTGTTAAGACAAGCGCACGTGCCGCACTTGTAGCGAGTAGATAGCTGGCTGGCTGGCTGGCTGTCTAGTAGCCGCCGTGGTCGTAGTCGCCGTAGCTTCTTGCACAGTTGTCATGACGGCAGAAGCAGTAGTAGCAGTAGCATTGGCACTGGTAGCAGTAGCAGTAGCAGCAGCAGCTGGGGGCAGTCGACAGTAGCTGTAGCTCACTGTAGCTGTAGCTGTAGCAGCAGTAGGCAGTGGCAGTAGCAGTAGCAGTAGCAGCAAAGTAGCAGTACTGTAGAGGAGGAGGAGGAGGAGTAGGAGTAGTCAGTGTTGCTGCTGCCGTAGTTGTTGAATTAGTCGCAGTTGTTGTAGTCGCACTCGCACTAGTTTACTGGTGCTAGTGACTGCTAGTGTTAGTAATGGTCGTGCGCTCGACCCAAGCTCTGCAGCCCTTAAACTCGACAACCCTGAAACATTAAGCTCTGCAGCCCTTAAATTCGACACATGCCACAATCCCAAGACCCCAGAGCTTTAAACTCGAAATTGCAGACCCTAAACCCTACACCCTGCCTCGAGTTGATCACGAAAAAGCGGGCAGGAGCTTTCGGTCTCTGACATTCGCCCAACCGCAGACGGCATCTTGGGTGGCAGACATGTTCGGAAGTCCTAGGAATATTCGCTGCCTGGCTTGGGCTGCAGGGTCTTCAATTAAATCTGTATACGTTCTTGGGTGGATTTCGACCAGAATGTCCATCACTGTACCTGGCCGGTTGCACCTCCCCTCCTCGTCGTTTTTCGAAAACGTCACCGTGCAACATTGCCCCGAGTGCCTGGCATTACCACATCCATAAGTCCAGAAGCACGATACATTGAAGGAGCGAAATAAACAGGCGACCTTAAACCATGAAAGAGTCTGTCGTGCAAGAGGAGCCCGAAGCAGGCAGTCTCCGTGCAGATTGCACCCGGAAATACGGCATCCACTGGCACAGTTTTGGCCGGATTCTAGGACGAAACATCACTCGGATGGTCTTGTACCAAACGTGTTTCGCTGCAGCCGGTATTCGCGGTTCCTGAAGTCTTGCCGCATGAGCGCCATTTCTTCTATTGGCTATTGTCGCCCTTGTCAGTTGAGACTGGAATGCTGCGATGTCGCATCCGGTTCTGACAACTCAACTGCTGAAGCTGCTGCACCCTTTCAACTTTTTGACTCGGCTGAGCCTGCGCCGAGGCTAGGCTTCCTAATCAAGTCCGTAGTCGGGATTAGCTGCTTGGAGTTCAGGTTGGCCAGAGCACCAAAACTAAGTTTAGGGTTTAGGGTTTAGGATTTAGGGTTTAGGGTAGTTTTAGGGTTCATGCCATTAGCCGTGATAATGGCTCGACTGGCCGGTGGAGTGCAAATCTGAGACAACTTAGGTCGAAAACCGAAGCCGCGGCATAGCTCGAGCATGAGGACTTCAGCGGTCTAACTTACCACCACGATGCAGCCTGGACTTGGGTTCAGGGCAGCTCGACTTTGAAGCTGAGATCGGCATGGTGAGGTGCAAAAAAAGACACTAGAGCTCGAGTGAGCACCAACATCCGAATGGTTTGGTCGTGCCCATTGCAGCATTGCAGGACGCATAGCCGAGGACGTTCGGCAGCAAGCACGTCCCGAGGCACGTGTCTGACTTATGAGTGTAAGTTTGGCATCCGCAGATATGGTTGGCTACCCTGTTGCTGCACGGACGTGCTGTAGTGGTCATTGAACGTCGCGTCTCAGCACCACCCACCTCGGCAGCTGTGAGAGAGCGTGGCCGGAGCCTGTCAGAGAATCGCTTCCTTTTACAGGGTTGTGGGATCATACATCCCAGTCGTTCAGTGTCTTTCCCAGCCAACTTTGAGCTGCAATGCCTGCTTCAGTCGACGAAGCATTTCAGCAAGGTTTCCAACAGTGGCCACTACTGTAGTCGGTGGGTGTCTTGCACGCACCGATGCAACGCTGAAGCCTAAACCCTAAACCATCAGGTATGTGGGACACTTCCAGCACGACGCTTTCGCTGTCTGAAGCGATGCGACCTGCAAGTCTGCCATTGGGTGGAGCCCAGAATCAGTCGAGGGATGCTTTTGGGAGTATGCCTCAGCCGGAATCAGCTTATTTCTAGCATAATTATACCCTTTGGACAGCGGGATGCGGTTTGAAGAATACTCTTGACTCGTCATCCTTTGCTTCAGAAGAAACCTCTGGGTTTCCCCAGTTTCAATGTGCCCAGCCGGGCCGCCCCTGGGCCACAGGGTTCAAAGAGCGAAGTTGACAGAGCCAAGCACATGTACAGAGAGGCAGACAGACGGACCAACAGCCGGTTCAAAAGCTTTCATGATACAAGATGGCTCAGGGCAGAATTGGGGTACCTCCCCGCGTCCCCGGTCTTTTCTGACGATTATGCTGCCGCCCTGGATTAGGTCTTGAAAAGAATAGACGACTGCTGCAGACTCTGCTACTGCTGAGAGGATTTCTGCAGAGAAAATTTCCAGTATGCAGGGCCATCGCAGGGAAGTCCGGTCGTGGATCGCTGGGCTCTCCTCTTGTCGGCAACGTGCACCGTGAGAGAGAGAAGCTAGTTTCTTGTGCTAAAGCATCTTCAGATAGCTCTCCCAAAGGGTCTAAGTACCCATATCGTAGACATTTTGGGCCCCAAGGTACCTACCACATAAGTACTTAGACCCTTTGGGTCTGATGCTCAGATGAGTTTCCTGATGCGACATGATAGGGTTTAGGGTTTAGGGTTTAGGGAACCCTAAACCCTAAACCCTAAACTGTTTGGCAGGTTTTCATCGGACCTGGGCCTTGGATTCTCATCTGATTGTCGACCCACCGCTTTTTTTAAGCCGGGGATTTGGACTTAAATGTAGGGGCCTTAATGATTAGAATAGGTTTTGGGGTATATTATATAGTTATTCTCTGAAATATTAAGGAACCCCGATGGATTGCACAGAACGAATTCGATGCCTCGACGGAGTTGACACTCTGCAAGCTCCTGCAAGGTAGACTTTCAGGTGTCGTGATCTCGTGGTCCGGTACTTGCAGCAGGACCCAACCAAAAAGTGTCGGACAGAGGGGAACGGATGCGGTCCGTCATATGCTTCTTGGGACACAAAAGCAACTTGCAGCTGCTATGCTCCAGCTGGCCGTTCCGCACCACGGCGGCGCATCATAGGAGGCAGGAAGGGGCGATTCTTGCTGTTGCTGCAGTTGCTTCTGTGGTGGTCTTGGTAGTGGTGGTGGTCGTGGTGATCCTTGTGCAGAGACAGTGTTCAAGGGTTTGGGGGAGCGGGGTGGGGGTTGGGTTTGATTGGTGTCACAAACACTCAAGATGGGTTTAGGAGGGTCACGGAAGGTTCCGCAACCCTTGTAAATCAAACCTCAGGTCTGGTAGGAACTGGTAGTATGCTCAGAAGAGGCTTCAAAACCATCCGAGACCAACTCCGGCCAGTTGGGTGGGGCTGACTGTTTGCTTGCCTTGTTGACGAGCCTGCTTCGTCTAGCTTTGTTTGTTGATCGAAGGGGTACTGTTGGGGTCTGGGCGTTCTAACATGTGCGGATCGCTTATTTGTTGCAGGGTGGCAGAGACCGAGCAGCTCCGCAAGAACCTCTGGGAAGCTGTTTTCAACGCTCCTTGGCCTAGCTTCATGCTTGCCACTTTCCCGTTCAGCAATCACAAACAGCCGTTGCGCAGACCACCCTGCTAGTCCAACATGCTGTCTTTGCCGGGAGGGCGCCTGGCACCCCAGAACATGGGAACACTCGTTCCACCCAAATTCTGCGCACAACAGTGGCAGGAGCACGACTGTTTTTCCAAGGCAGAAACACGATCCACAGCCTCTTTGTGAAGGGTGCATGCTGGGCAAAGACACGCAAGTCAACAAAAGTCTCATGCTTAAAGCTGTGAGGCATGCACCTAATCAATCAAAACTAAACTGTCAGCAACCCGCGTTTTCGGTGCTTCGCACAACCGTGTGCCCCGAGGAGGATCCAGTCATGGCCAGCAGCGGCCATCTGCAAAGAAACCTCGTTGTCAATCTGTATAGATGGGAGCCAAGTGACACGCGATCTTCATGCCGCCATGCACCATTTTGCGTCAACGGTCTCATCTTCATGCTAAATGCTGGATGCTGAAGGTAACGAGTTTCCCCATAGCGGCTTCCCCCGGTGCTTGGAAGTAAGCCAATGAGCCCGGGACATGCACTCTTTGATCCCCAGCCACAAGTAGCGCTTCGAAGGGCCATGGAGTATAACGGGGTCAGCGCCCCACCGCTCTAAATCTCAAAACCCGAACTGGCTGTGTAGCGATCGCTTCTAGTAAGAGCGAACTCCGCAGATTTTCATGTCAGTAGCCCACAACCCACCGTGTCCAAAAAGAGGGGCCCCCGGTGCACACGCAACGTAGCAGGCCTCTCCGAGTTGCCAGGGTGACTGATATGCGCTGATCATCATTGCGAAATGAGCATGTCATATTATGGGATGAGCAACTTGAGCTCTTTATCTGCGCGGCTGCATTCTTAAAGGAACCGGTGCAAAGTCTTGTTGGGGCTGCAAGGGCAAGGGAGTCGCTGTCCCCGTGATCCACGGCTGCACTGGGTAGCTCTGTGCCGTGCACGCACAGAAGCAGTGCCAAGCATCCTCCCTCGCAGACTGTAGGTACAGTTTACCCTCAAAACGTCATATGTATACAGTATATACAGAGAGTGTGTCTGTGTGTGTGTGTACATATGCAGACAGAGAGAGATACTCGAGCATATCTATCTATCTGTCTATCTATCCACCTGCCCACCTATCTATGTGTTTATCTATATTATGAGATAGAGTCAAGATTATCGTATATTGGATTTAAGGCAGGCGTATGTCGAAGATTGCGGATGCTAGCCGTGACCTGTGAAACGACAGGTGACGCCCTCAAGACGATACCCTCAATACAGCAATGTTGCCATGATAACTTTGGCCTCCTTATTTCGTTCAAGAGAGGGTGTCGGGAGTTTGGGTTTTGGTAAGGGCCGGGGGTTGTCGAGATGAAGCTGTGGTACACAACGATACGAGAACGATACCCAAAGGTAGCCCCGAGTGGCCTAGACGGGCCCGTGGCCGTTCGACTACTCTCTCAGTAGTTTTCCTTGGACCAGAAGCCCTAAAGCCGCACAATCGGAGAACCCAAACATCTTTACTAAAAGCTTAAGCAACAGTCCTAAACCGACTGTCCGCATTACAAAGCCCTCGCGCGCTCTCCGGAGCCAGTTCTTTATTGACTGGGATGTCGCGCACCCATTCGCTTCTGCATGTTCGAATATCAGTATGGCAACGTTCCTACTTGATGGTCAGTACTGAACCATACAGCTATGTCTACTTTCTGGTCTCACGAAGCAGGAAGTTGGATCCGTGTTAGTGTACTTCTCTCGGTTATCATCTGCAGATCACAAGTGACCAATCCAACAATTCGTTAATATACAGTCAAGATCTAGATGGCACCGGCATGCTGTGCATTGGTATTTGCACACAGTTAAGCACTCAAGCAGCTAATGTGCAGCGAATGTTCATGTAGTACCCAGTCATAAGTAGCAGATAGTTCACCTAATCTTAATTCACAATGTGTTACAGGTTCACGGCTCAATAATTTCCTCGCGCATTCATTCGACGCAAGTAGGTATGAGTTACGAGTTCTCAATTCCCAATACCAGATGTCTATTCCAAGAGTAGTTATGTTGTATGTATAACGTTTACATATATATATATATACATACACACAATATACATACGTATGTATATATATATATACATATATATACGTATACATGTATATGTTATTGCTTCTGTTAGAGCTAGCATCCGATGTTGGACCAATGTGTGATCATTATTTCTAAGTCTTTTGCGTCATATTTCAATACTGCTCAGTTAACAAGGCAACATGTATCATATTCATAAACACCTGATATTCAACTTCTACTGGTATAGCCAGCCGTTGGGGTAACACTACTGAGATAGATTATCACTCGTATGTATGTATGTATGTATGCATGTATGCATGTGTATATGTAAGAATGTTTGTATGTTTGTATGTATGCTTGTATGTATCGTTTGTAATGTACGTACGTGATGTAATGTAATGTAATGTAATGTAATGTAATGTAATGTAATATACTGTAACGTAATGTAATGTAATGTAATGTAATGTAATGTAATGTAATGTAATGTAACGTAATGTAGTGTAATGTAATGTAACGTAATGTAACGTAATGTAATGTAATGTAAGGTAATGTAATGTAATGTAAGGTAATGTAAAGTAATGTAAAGTAAAGTAAAGTAATGTAATGTAATGTAATGTAATGTAATGTATTGCATTGTATTGTATTGTATTGTATTGTATTGTATTGTTTTTGTATGTATATAATACGCGGCTTCTCTAAAAAGGTGCAGGAGTGTGGCACTCCTTCACATTGTCGTCTAATGCATCGTTTCCGTTCGGGCAGACGTGAGTCCGAAGTTCGGTTCTGCTCCCCCCGCATTGCATCCGAATCGGTGACTTGATTACGCGGCCGAGAGTTCCGCAAACCTCGATTTATTTCGGACGAGAAAGATCGGTTTACGAATGAGGTCTTGGCCATTCTTATGAGTCTGCTTTGTTTCGTGCCTGTTGCACTGGGCTACGGCCCAGGCTTAGCGGGTTGAGCCGCATGCAATGGGTCGGGGGAGTTGGGTTGTGTGCCTCCACAAGCCGCTAAGAGGCTGGGTTGTGGATGCCGTCTCGGACTGCCCCTGCATGCCACTGCGAAAGGTTTCGCCGTTGCATGCATAGTTTCACCCGTAAGTTGTACCTCGAGTTTGGCCAGTTCCCCGGCAGAGAAAAGCAAGGAGTCACGGTTTTCAGATGTCCTGCAGGGCTTCGGGCTCGTAGCCTCGATTGGGAGTAACAAAAGTATATAGGTTATGTCCAGGTCATGGGCTCCCTAGGACGCAGCTGAAGCTGGGAAAGTGTAATCACGTCATGGTGTGCCTTGTTGGTTGGGTTTACACTCTAATTTGTCATATTGGTTGTTGTCGTTATCAAGTCGGCTCTGAGTGTGGCCCCGAGCCATGACTAGCCGGCTTAGTCGAAAGCTAGCTCGCCCGATGAGGATGGCAGGGCAGAGAGAGGGATGAACACGGGTTGAAATTCTGAGTTCACGCCATTTGGGGCGTTTCGTTTGTTTCCTTGGAATTCCTTGGCGGGATGGCGGGATGAATTGCATGTTCAGTCGGCGTAAATCATGAGCGTCGCATTCTGACGTCCCAAAGCCCGAGTCCAATTCCTCTGCTCCAGAAGCGCCCGGCGCTGAGCCCTCGCCTCCCTTCATTCGGGCGCATTCGGGTGCATGCCGGTCTTCGCTTGCCATCATCAACTACGCGTGTGCCCTGCAGAACCCAAACCCAGTCGCACATTCCCATGAACCTTATGGGGTCTGTCACCAAGCCGGGAGCTGCAAGAGCATCGCTCGTTTCCCGGCAGTAAACCTGGAACGTATTTCAGAAGACACGCAGATACTCTAGCCACTGAGCCGCTGAACCCTGCAACCTTCGACAAGAATCAAGACAGATAGATTGGCCGTCTTTCCAGAATGAATCGGCTCAGAAGCTGAAGAGAGGCCGCCTGCCTTAGGCAGAGTCTCAGTTTGTTTCGGCTTTTAGACAGCCATGGCAGCCGATGGCGATGCACCACCCATCACACCGGAAGGTGTCACCACCGAGCCGGAGATTATCAACCCCGATGCGTTGCCGGACACTAGAGCTGTGTGCTTTCGCTACTGCTTTGCATGCGGTTCCGCACAAGCCCAGGCAAACGTAGTTGCCCCGGAGGAGCAACCGCACCGACGACAGTTCGTGCCCGTGGAGATGCAGATAGTGGTGAATGCTGTGGCTGACATGGACAGCGCCTGGAGCTGATTCAGGGGTCAAGTTCGCGGGTGTGCCTGACACCCCAGCGTAAAACTTTACGGTTGAGAACCGTGACTCAATCCGAGGTAATGACGCTGCCAGCTTCATCCGTGCTGCACCTGCCTGGGCAATACTGAGAAGCTTCGGCCAAGTTCTTCGAGGACGCCGTATGGATCCAGAGAAGCTCTACTCTCTGAGTTCCCAGGCAAATGCACGCGGTTTTGGCATCTGAACCCACTGAAGCCCGGAGCTTTGCGGAAGCACTACCTTGTCATTCTAGTAAGCTGCCAGTTGCAATGTGGGCATTATTTCTTGTGCTGCCGGCGACGAGGAAGATGGTGACGCCGATTCGATAGTGATGATGATGATGATGCTCATGGTGATATTGACGATGATCGTGATGATGGTGATGGTAATAATGATGATGGTGGTTATGGTGGTGGGAATATGGGGGATGGGTTGATATGGAGTGCTGGGCGTGATGCTGATAATTATAGTGGTAGTGATCAACACGAAGATGAAGATGAAGACGGTGAAGATGATGATAGTGATGATGTTGGTGACCTGTTGGTGGTGGTGGTAATGATAGATGTTGATAGTAATGTCGATGACAGGGTGAGGCATTGAAGAGAGGACGTGATTATGACGACGATGGTAGTGTTGATTGTGACGAGGAGGAGGAGGAGGAAGAGGAGGAGGACGGTGACGATGGTTCGATCAGTCGGAAGAGGCAATAGCAGGTCCCGTACCGTGAATTCGAAGTTGTCTGAGCACGGGGCAGGTGGACTCCATCGATGAGTTCTGGTCACACAGCTGGCAGAGCATGGTGTTTTTCAAGGCCGCATCTCGAAGCCGAGCCTTCAGGATGTTTCGGAGATGGGAGGTTGCACACATGAACTCTCCAGCCCCTCCCTCAAGCCCCTCGAACCCCTCGCGCCACAACTACCCAACAATCTCAGACTCAGTCTGCCCTACAATCCCCCAGAACCCTGGAAAGGAAGCCCGGGACCCGCATCCAACCCCTCCGAGCCAGCTCAAGGATTGACCTAAACTGTACTTAAAGGATCATGGGACTTAGTAAGTAGGGTTATAATTAGGGCAACTATACTTATAACCCCAATTAAGGGACTTAATTACTTACTAAGTCCCATGATCCTCCAAGTAGGGTGTAGGCCGAGAGCCTTCAGTGAGCCGCGGGGCTCCCAAAGCTTCCAAAGCCTTGGCCGGGCTTGGCAAAGCTTCGCTTCCCAAGTTGGAACATTGAACTGCTGAGGGCTTTGGGGCCAGGGGTTGAACTGCTGAGGGCTTTGGGGCCAGGGGCTTTGGCGATGGGCACTTGTGGAGGTTCCCGTCTTGGAGCCTTAAACTTTAATCTTTTGGCCTGTGTGTACTCGGTTTTTCTGTTCGGCGCAGTGGGCTTTCCTGTGAACTGCTTATGGTAGTCAGGTTCTGTCGCTTCGAGTTTCTTCTTTCTAAGCAAGCTGCATACAAAGGTTAGCTTGCCACATTTCCGCACTGCAGGTGTGGCTGCTACTCATGCTCAAAAACGGGCGTGCTGCATGCGTGGGTGGCACACTTGTGGCGTTGGTCGCTGGATATCTCTCGTACACAGACCTTCTACCAGGATGGCAGCTGGGACTACACGTCCTACTTTACCTACTTCTACTATCACGAGTGCAGGCTGTCTTTTCTCTTGCGTTGAATCGCCCGGACCTTGTCCATGCACACCTTCAACTGGGTCAATTTGGGCGCTGGCAGTCTGAAGCTGTAGCTGTAAGAGCTTTTCTTTGATGAAAAGAAACACTCATACGATATTAGTATTCAAATCCATATTAACATTAAGCTTCCCTGCATTGATATTCACGTAAATATTGCCACTAAACTAGCATTAAGATTGCGACTAGTAATGACAGGAACAGTTGTAGAGTCACTGTCCACTTCTCTTTGATACTATCAGTACTATTGTTGTTATTCGCAAGGTTACATCCTTATCAGTAGCATGAGTTTTTCACTAGCATGGAACTAGCGGCAGCAGGAGTCGTAGCGGTGGTAGCGGCAGTAGGAGCAATAGTAGTAGTAGTAGTAGTAGTAGTAGCAGTAGTAGTAGTAGTAGTGGTAGTAGTAGTAGTAGTAGTTATAGTAGTAGTATGTGGTAGTAGTAGTAGTAGTAGTAGTAGTAGGAGTAGGAGTAGGAGTAGTAGCAGCAGCAGCAGCAGCAGCAGCAGTAGTAGTAGTAGTAGGAGAAGTAGTTACAGCAGATCTTTGGCTCGAATACTACTACTACTACTACTACTACTACTACTACTAAGAACAATGATAATAATAATACTAATAACAATATGCATGGTAGTAGTAATATACTAATAATAATATTAGTACTAGTATTACCATTGGGTCGGCAGCATGACATTCATCAGTGGCATATATCTTGTGACACGACAGCACGTGAGACCTGTATTGCTTTTCCCAAGCACTCGGCATGACAAGGTACAAGGAGCCACGAGTCCAGGGACCAGGCTATAGCGGAGAGCCTGCTGGCAGACATGGTGCAGCTCATAAACCGGCATGTGCCCACTATTGGAGTGAGGTTTTGCAGCCGTTTGTGCCAGTAGCATGCGGGGCTTCCTGTGTCTCTGAGGTTCAGATTCAGCCCATGGGCGAATCTCACTGGATGCGCTGCAGCGTTGCTATTTCTGGTAGTTTGGCACTCCTCGAGCAAGGCCAGTCTTCGTCATCACTTTGGGCTTCAATTTTACAGCCTAATAAGCCGTAATGAGCCCTCCTAGTTAATTTCTCAGGGCAATCACTCCAGTGAGCCCCATGTTTTGGCTGCAGAACCGAGGCACCAAAACCCCACACCCTTGAACGATAGGCCCCCTCGCTTGGCAGCGTCCAAGTTGCGAGAGCGTATTTTCACAACTTGCCTCGCCCGGATTGTCCGACCGCGAGCGCCGAAACCCACAACCTGTAAATCCGAAACCCCTAAACTCCAAAGCACCAGTCATCTTGTTTTCACGCCGACTGCGAACACATGGATCCTCGCCTGGCTTGTCCGAGTTGTGAGAGTTAAACTCCAAAACACCAAACCTTGCTGACCCGACCGAAACTGGACCAGGTCTTCCTGGATCGTGCATGTATCCATCAAGGTGATAGCAGGCGTGGGAACGCGAGGTTTTGAGGACGGTTTTGTTGGGTTTTGTTTGTAAGGGTTGTCTTGTATAGGGGTTTCGTAGGTTCCTTTCGGCGTTCTGTTCAGCAGGTTAAGCTGTTTACGCCAAGTTGCCACATGGAGCATCACATTGTGTACTACAGGTGGCTGTTATGGTAAGCTCGATTCAGCTCCAGTTGAAGCCAATGGGTAGGCTAAAGGGGTCACTGGAATCAAATACCGTTACCCAAACCTGTTCAAATCAATATCCAACTGTTATAATCTTATCATTACTACAGTATTATTTTACGTACTTTAAGACTAGCACCGTTTCTATTACTATTCCTAACGGTTACTGGTGTTTTTATTCTTATTGTTATTGTTACTATGGCTTCTACATTAAGGAATGAAGGCTGTGGAACCTCGGGTTTTATGGGTCCCGGAATTTCCGACACGAGTTTGGGGCGTTAGAGACGTGCCACTTCCAAGCCACACTTTTCCAAGCCCTATACAGCCCAAAGCTTTCTTTGCAAAAAACGACTGCTCCCTAAACCCTAAAACCCGAAAGACTGCTCCCCTTAAGGTTGAAAGCGGAGGGCATCCTAAACCTCGGCGCCATCCTCAAGAAGTCTCGGACGCTAGTGGTGGTCTGGGACCCATCATATCTCTCCAGGCCAGTTTGTTCATACTTTGAAGGTCAGGGCGTCGGGGTGCGACCCCAAGGCGGCCGTTTAAGGTTTGGGGTTTAGGGGTTTAGGGTTTAGGGTTTAGGGTAGGGGAGTCCTGGATGCAAAAAGGGTTTAGGGTTGAGAGCTAGGGCTGCTTGCTCCAACTCCGGGCGAAGTGGAAAGCCTGTTGCAAAAAGCTTGAGAGCTGCTGCAACTTGTTCCTTTGCGCACGAGCCGGAGAAGCAACAAAACAACTAGCCTGTCTTGGCTGGCCGAAAAGATTTCCCTACAGCCCGGAAGTTCGGAACCTCATGTCGTGGCTTTGGGCTAAAAGGCTGCCAGGGCAAAGGCCTCTCGTAGACGTCCCATGTCAGAGCTTTGGGCCTATATCTTGAGCATTTAAAGTTCCCTGAAGCCCGAAACAGAGTCGTACTCAAAGCTCCCCTTCTTCATCGAATGGAAAGAGATGAACAGCGAGGGGAGCCTACAAGAACGCTTGAACCTTGAATCGAAATCTGTGTCGTTTATCCAGAGGTCTTTGAAGTGCTAAACTTTCAACCCATACGTCTTAAGTTAAACCAGAATTCCCAGAGGTCTTTCTCCAATTTGCCAGCCCTAGGCTTCAGGAAGGGGGTTGCGATCGGAGCCTAGGGAGTTGATGTCGTCGGACCCAGAGACTCTAATATCCCTTAGTTAAGGAATATATCTTAAATTATAGTAGGATCCCTAATATGATTTGAGGTATATTCCTTAATTAAGGGATGTTGGAGTCTCTGGGGAGGCTATGGTGTGTGTTCGAGCTTGCTGCTTTTCTCCACGCTCATCGTGAAGACCCTCAGACCCGCTTGGTCATCAAGCCCACCGTCTTGGTGCCCATGACCTTCCTCATGGCGATGACTACTTCGTTCATACTTCTTTTTGAGACGAGCCTTCCTGATACAGATGAGGTTGCCTTCATGCGGATACTCCTGTTTGTCTTGTCTCAGTTTCCCAACATCTGGCTAATCCAGAGACTCTGGCGGACTGTCATGGAGGCGGAGAAGCAATTTGGCACCTTCAGCTTTGAGAAAGTCACGTGCTACTGCTGTTCCTCAGATCACAAGGATTCACGAGGCAACACCATTCCTTGCGATAAGGAGCCTTGGCCTTGGCTAGCTCTGTCTTCAAAGTTCGGCTCTTGTCTCTGATCGCCGGGGGAAAAGAGACTTAGACTTAGACTTAGACTTAGACTTTTCCTGCATACTTTTATCCAAGGAGATTCTCGAAGGTTGCATCGTTGAGTGGTACGGTTCTGTGGCACAGCTGGAACTGAGCGTCCGCACCAAAGTGCGTGACTCCTTCATTGAGCAGGTGACGCGCTTCCCTATGGGGTATCAGTGGATGGTTACTTGATTGAGGAATGGTGGAGTAGCAGGTGCAGTAGTACAAGAACAAGAAGTAGTAACAGCAACAAGTTTCTGGAATAGCAGTTGTCGCCACCACCTTCCTCCTCCAGATCCTCCTCCTACTGCTGCAACTACTACTACTACTACTACTACTACTACTACTACTGCTACTACTACTACTACTACTACCTGTACTACTACCTGTACTACTACCTGTACTACTACCTGTACTACTACTACTACTACTACTACTACTACTACTACTACTACTACTACTACTACTACTACTACTACTACAAGTACTACTACTACCACTACTACTACTACTACTACTACTACTACTACTACTACTACTACTAC